AGAAAGAAAACAAATTTTGAAAAATTATTATTTCTGTGAAGTGCAAGCTTGTGGAGTTCATCAGTGCATGCTGAGAAAGCTGATAAGAAAAAGGAAAGTCAGAGCAAGAGCGAGTTATGGCATTCTATGGCATCATAAGAGCTAGTTACGTCATTCTATTTAAGCAAAATAATATTTTTCACTTACAAAATGACTTAATACTGACAGAACACAATAGGAAAAACCCATGTGCCAAATGCAACTTTATTCACTCCTGAAATATCAATCAGATTGTTTAAAAAAGGCTGCTTTGAACAAGAAGCAGATGTAACTTCCTTGTCACTGAAAATTTTAGCAAGTGTTAACTCTGGCCTCAACTCAACAAAATAATAAAAACATACACTTAAAGCCTTACTTAGAAGGAGGTTCAGAGCTTAACATTATCTTTGTTCATTGGTTAACAGTTTCCCAGAAAATGGGTCTTTTAAGCTTAAAATACCTTTTTCATAGCCAAAGTAGTCTAGACCACTTATCCACATTATTTTATCAAAAAGCACCACTTTCAAACACTTAAACAACTACAGAAAATAGATTATTTTCCCTCTTTCTACTTTTTCAGAAAAATGTCTAAGGCAAGTTTTATTGTAAACAGCATATTTTCATTACCAATTCTGTATGTCCTACTGCCATGAAATCATGATTTGCATCTAAACTTCTGGGAACCATGGCAGTTTAAACCGTCAAACAATATATCAGCGCTTATGATCATGAACTTTGAAACAATGGCAGTCAGAAGACCAAACCTTTGTCGAATACTGCACAATTTGGAGACACCACATCACGCTTATACACTTAATTCTAACTCAGACATTGCATACCTGACAATATTTATGGCTGAGTAGACCTGGGCTTTAGAATAGGCTTTTGGATTGACTGATACTGCAAGGTGTGGAATCACAGACTGAGGCTGAAGAAAGTCCTAGTTATAGTTTTAAGGCAGATACTGGCTATCTGGCAACATTTATTACTAAAGATAGTGCTTCACCACAACAGGGGAGGAAAACCCAAGCCTTTAATGGATTAGGTGTAGCTTAGACATCTAGACTGAGCAAAAATATCAGACTACAACCATAGCGAGCTTGAAAGCATGTGCTGCATTCCTGATTATATAGCAGGGTTTGAGATTCAAGTTAGGCTTCAGCTTTTGCAGCCCTGGTGTCATAGAGCAGGAAAAGTTCTGCACAGCTCAATGATGTAATCTGCAGATTTCTATTGTATCAAGAATAACGATGTATTTAGAATGTGTAGTGGTCGTCTGGTAATATCTATGGATTGGATTATGGTTCTGATAAGGTTTAGCATTTCTGAACAGTGAGGCTGGAGAGACTCAAAATGAGGGCTTGCATCACCTTGGATCACTAGTTAATGTTTAGTTTTCACGCAGGTGATGGCCATATTTATGCTTAGAGGTAGAATCAGGATCTGAACTAAGGATTTCAAAGATAATTTTTGATGGATTTAGTACAGCTCAGGGACTGAGGAACCAGACTGGTGTCAGGCCTAAGCTCACAGCTCATATTTCATTGCAGTGTGGATACTAGTCCCCAGACCACATGTGTTAATAGGAGGAGACCAGGACTCCTTGGAAGTGGAGGACCTAACACTGGATGAGGATTCCAGTGATGCAGGTGTTGGTCACCTGGCAGTAATTATGAATAGGCTAAGGTTTTTAGAGCCTTGGCATTTCACAGCATCAATCTTCCAGGGATTCAGTTTTAGGAACCTAGGTTGAAGGTTTTAGAGATATGGTCAAGGACTTTCACTAAATCTATTTTTAACACATGTACTGGTCACTTGGAAATACTTATGGCTAGGTTTAGCATGGGCTTGGGATTCGGGATGATGCATTGGAGAACCCAAGTCTGACTGATTTGAATAGCTCCAGGGACCAGAGTCAGAACTGGTGTTGTCCCTGTTTCTGCTGGAATACTCATTTTTGCTGTAGGTATCATCAACGCTTAAAAAGCTTCAAAATAAAATATTCAAGAACCCAAATTAATTAGTGGAGCCTGCAAAGATGACTGATGTATTAACATCAAGTATTCCACTAAAACATCCTCACTGTGATCAATATCCTCTTTAAAGAAATTGTATATCTGTACTTTAGTTGTTTCACAAGAAATTAGGTTCTATATAAAAAAAAATAGCATGGAGCTCTTTAAATACTGTGGGTCTTTTTTGCATTTACAAAGTGGATATTGGATCTATATAGCAAGTCAAAGGAGCACTTGATAAACACATGCACGTCTCTACACAGTATCCTTTCAGTTGCCTAAAAGAAAAAACATTGCAGTTGAGTGACAAATTATAAATAGGATTTCTGTAACCTGAAGAACACCTCTTAAATAGTTCCCTCACAAGTGGTCATTTAATTACCTCTCCTGCTGTAAAGTCCAGTTTAGACTGTAAATCCTGGGAAAGAAATCTACCCAGAAACCTACATACTTATAATAGAACAAATACCAAGTCACAAATCTTTTTACCATTGTAAAAAATACTTTTCTCTATTGGTTCCATGAACTCCATGCCAAGAATCCGTTCAAGCAGCAACTTATCTTTAACAATATAATCCATTTCTTTATGAACCTGTAAGAAAAGGAAAAACAATACTTCTTGTTTTATGATTTCAAAGAAAAAGTACTTGTTACAAAGTGAAGTACAGCTACTTAGACCTTTATGAATGAAAAAAAGCACTGGTCTATTCCAAGACAAAAATAAGTACATAACAAAAAAGGATTTGTCATTTTTAAGAGCAGGCTGCACTGTTGGACAGTATGCCAATTTTTTTTTTTTGAATGAAGCACTATTCCAGTTGCCATAAAGTCTTTAACAACAAGTCTTTAAGCACATATGCTTAAAGAGAAAATACAGTCTTTCAGATTTACAATTTTTAGTCTCTATTTACTATAATTATACTTTCCTTAATATAGTAATGTTAATGTACATACGTGATCAATAAAAGAGCCGAGAAATTTGTTCATGGTGTTGTATGCCCTTGTGCTTTGTTCGAAAGTATTTGCAGATGAGTCCAAAAGCCTAGCAGGACCACGTTTCTGAAATATAACATGACCATGACTTCAGCAGAAAATTTACATATTTTAAATAACATTTACAGAATACAAATATCTCACTTACTCTTGTTAGGGTTTCATGAATCCTGTCATAGTGCAGTCGCATTTTTCTTGAAATGGAAATCTGAAATGTCTGACCATCTGTGTTCGGTAATAAACCTCTCTGACTACATAGATTTTCCTATACAATTAAAGCAATTGTAAATTAACATTATTAATGTCATTCATAGACCCCCAAAAGTTAAAAGCTTTTAATTTACTCTCTTTCATGTACACATAGTACTTAATATCTCTAAATATTTGAATCCACTGCACTCTTGGTTCTTCTATAGCAAGATTTTCTTAGGACATGAAATCCTGCCCCCTGCTGTCACAAATACATACTCCTCTTTTAACCTGTGTTCAGTTCATTACCTTCTAACACATCTTTTGACACTGATTTTGAAGCCCTTTCTTTTATGTTTATCATTTATTCTATACTTGTTCTGCTTTTTTTGTGCTTTGGATTCCTGACGTTTTCCGTTTGTTTTTCAGGTCACATTTAATAAATCTCAAAAACACCACGAAAATAGAAAATTCGACATCTCCATAGGGAAAAACCTGCTTTTTCCAAAACTATATTAAAATAAGCAATTAGGAAAAAATTATAGGAACAAACAAGTAAAAAATATTATTAAAAAGATTCCTCTACATTTCAATGTTTGAGATTAAATTTTCAGATGGTTATGGTTTTTTCTGTCCATTTATTATTGAAATAGCAATATCCTTTCTCTAAGGTACTTTCTTCCTACTTGTCCCTACAAAGATGAAAGATACAAGATTTAGTGTAAAGTGCTCCAGTCTTGTATTAGACATTTTACATTTGCCTGATCTTGCAGCAAAGATACAACATACGACAAACTACCAGAAAATACTTATTCAAATTCATTTCTGTAAAGAATAGGTTATATCACCAAAGGACAAGAGATGGAATAAAATAATTTATTGGAAGAGTAGACGTCTCTTTATTAGAGTTTTTCAGATTTGTCTCTTTATGAAAGCTTCTTGGTATGCATCTTTTTGAATGTGGCCATGAGCTTACCAACAGCTGGTATCTTTTAAGTATCGTAACTTGGTGCAATGTAATGCACAGGTGCAGATCCATAATGCAAAGGTGTGGGGTTTTTTTAATAAAGTAAATATTTAGAGCAGGTGTAAACTTTATTACTTTTACTTACTGCTTCTCTTTTTAGGTTCATATTCATTTCTTCCATATTGGTATCTGCATGTCCATGCACAGAGCGACCGTGGATATAATAACCAAAGCAGCTGTGTGACAAGAGAAACACTGAAATCTAAAGAGATGGGGGAAGAGAAGAATACTTTAATTAAACATTATAATTTTATTTTTGAGCTTTTGAATTCACAGAAGAGATAAGACCAGCCCTTCTACACATACAAAGTAGGCAGGTACCAAAATAAATATGGCAGAAAAATATTTAATAACTCTTTTACTGATTAGTTTTATCTATGTTTAACACCAGCTTCAAGTTCAGTTCATCAACAGCAAGGATCACTACTTAATTCCGCAGAGCTAAAAAATTAAAGCAAAGTTATTAGTTTTTATTTTGATTCAAAAGTTATTTCTATGATAGATAATACATATGCATCATTCCAGTTGAGCTCCTAGGAGACTGTATTTAATATTACTTCATTCAGTATGATACAATGCTTATATATCACATAAAACCCCAAAACTAACTCTCTCTACAACCCCCTTGCACTACATGGGTTTTTCACAGAAGAGGCATAACCAAGGTTGGAAAGGTTTATAAAAGGGGTTAATCTCTATGTTTTTAAGAAGTTCTCGCCCAATGAGCTAATCCAACCTGTCCTGACTGCACTCTTCTTTGGTTAAAAAGGAATTCCTGCAGTACAAAGCTTCAAGACTTGTATTTAAACTAGAGAAAGGGAAGTAGTTCAGATGTAAGTGAAAATGCATGAAAAAGGTGATAACTGTCCAGGAGGGACAACAGTTCAGTGGTTGAGGGACAACCACAAGATAGGAACAGAAACTGAACATAAACATGTTAAATAAAACTAAGACAGCTGTGTCTGTAAGACAAAAGTACTAAAATGCAAACCAATAGAAAGAACGGCAGCAAATGGTTCCACACCTAATTTCTGTCATAATTTGTTACTTTTCAATTCTGTATGAGCATATGTAACCAATTTAACTTCAAAAAAACCCTAAAAATCACACGTCTAGAAGAACATATTGATACCTGTGATTCCAGAATGTTTTTCCAATTAAAGTTTAACTGCAATCTTCTTGTAGATTGCACCAACAAAGTGAGCTGAAAGAAACACTAACTTTGGCTGTTAGCTAGTAATCTCTGATTAAATTAAATGAATAAATATTATTTAATATTCTTAAAACTATTGTAGATATTATTCTGTTAAAAATGCCACCGTACAAATGAGACAAAGAAATACTTACATTGCTCATGCAACACAAATCAACAAATTGGCTTATCTTATCTTCAACAAATCTTTCATAAAACACAGAAAAAAATATAACCTGAAATAAATCAACCAAATTTTCTTTTATTAGTTCATCAGATTTGACTTCGTTAAGCAATTAACTTCACAGTTTAACACCTACAAATTACAGACTTCTGTAGTGGCCACCATTGCATTGGATGCTATGAAATGGGATTGACACGCTTCCTCTAAGAAGTAAATTGTAGCAATAAGCTGCTTTTCATTTTGAACTTGGAGATGCTTCAAAGTTGTTTAAAACAAAATAAAGTAGTTGTATAAATTCACATCTTTGAGAGGATTAAAATTCTGGCTACAAAGTAAGATGACTCGTAGCTCAGAAGATTAATTTTGAGTTCCAAAGGTGTACCATGCTAAAGCAGCTAAAAGTCTAGATCAAGCAAAACAGTTAAGAATATATCCAATGCTATGATACGTAGTATGGATGGCCTAGTGATATCTCCTAGCTTCCAAGAGCCAGCCTGGAAATGATAATTCAGTATATCATGTGTTTCACATACCTGTAAGAAGGCAATGGCTAGCCAGAGTGCAGCAGACACACCAAATCTTAAAATGCGGCTCCAAGGAGCTATGTAACTCTCACTGCTTCTTGTAAGGCTGGAAGAAGAATCCATTAAAGCCAGGTTTGAAAATCCCACCACCTGAAGAGATCAGAAGGTTAATATAACAACATGAGGCAATTAATTGTATTAATCATGACCCTGTTGTTTCCATCACAACAGGAAGTAAGAAGAAAAAATTAGGAAAAATGGACCTGGGAATAGTAGCATGTTCACTATGATAGAGCCCAATTGTGCGACCCAGTGTTATTACTGAGAAACATAATTAAAAACATAAACGGTACGTATATGTGTTGATACATAAGTTCAAAAATATACACACTCAAATCTCACAAGAAGTCAACATTGATTTTTACTGAAAAACTCCAAAAGATTCTACTGTTAGACTGCATAGGGATATTATTTCTGCCTAATTTAGCTTTTGGGTCCTATATATTCCAGTGTTAAAACAAATTTTTTATCTGTTTTGCAACTCTAAGAAACTGTTTTTTTTCTTTTTATTGAACAAAATATGTATTTCCCTCCACTGTATTTATGGCTGAATCTATTTTAAACAAACAATCTAGAAAAAGTTCCCAAATAAAAAAGATGAGAGAAACACTGTCTTGAAACACTTGAGAGGTGAAAATTTTGTGAAAATCATTCAGAACGGGAGCTGCACCAGAAACATATTTGGGGTGGGTTGACCCCCACCACAGTGGGATGGGGAACAGGAAAAACAAAAGCAAGAAGACTTGTGGGTCAAGACTTGGGGGCCTTGATGCTGTGCAAGTGCTGTTCAGCAACAGCCAAAACATTGGTGTGTTGTCAGCCCTGTTTCAGCCACAAATCCGAAACACAGCACCCTGTGGGCTGCTGTGAAGAAAACTAACTCTATCCCAGCCAGAGCCAGTACATATTGAACAGCTCCTCACTTTTGCTGCCCAAGTGCTATCTGCACTAGCCACGTAGCCAACACTGCCAGGGCGACCGGTGCCAACCAAGCGGCTGCTTTGGTGCCAGACATGAGGCCTGAGGGGAGTGAGACGCTTCCCAACTTCCTCCACCTGTTACTTTTCCTGGCTTGTTTTGTGTTACCTTGCAGCCTGTCACCATGATTAATCAGAACTGAACAGTCACTTTATCAAAATTGGTAACTCAAGAAGACTGGTTTTGAGCAATACTGAAGTTCCCCCTGTGGTGAGCAGCTGATTGCCATATCTACCCCGGGCACTATATATACTTCTAGGGAAACTACATTCCAAACTTCAGCATGACAATGACAGTTTTCTCAATCTTTAGATTATCTGAGGTTTTCACAAACACCAATTTTAGCCTATTTAGGTATCTTTCATGACTTCCTCCACCATCAGTGGCAAGAAAGGGATTCTCCAGAGGGAAATTCATAGCAGGAATTATAGAGCAAGATGTTAACCACCCTCTACTGGGAGTAGCCTCTCCCTTCTAGTAATGCCAGGAACCTATGAAGAGTAACCTGAGGAGACTAGTTAGTTTTGTGAATACGTGCTCTTTTTAATCCCATTCCTTCATTGTAACATGTCATAGAAGTTGTTCCTGGCCAGTATTTAACAACAGCAAAAATACTGGTGTAGTGAATGAGGAAAGTTTGGGGTTTTTACTGTATATAATTTAAAAGAAAAATAGGAAATTTAAAAACAGAAATAAAAACCAAATAAAAGTATTAAAAATATGTAAAAGAACCTCACATAAACAACTATATATGCTACACACTTTAAGAGTACTTCCCAAAATAAAAGTATTTACCAAACTACAGAAGAAACAAATCAAAATGTTTTTGAAAAGCTAAAGCACAATTTCTTACAATTTCTTAAGCTGTAACTGAAGGCATACTGCCTTGTGCTATGCCATCAGGAAAAGAACTGGCACATTTCATTTCCTACTTTATAAAGGGTCACTATAGCAAATTAGCAGGAAGGAAGCTCAGTTCAGATAAATATAAAACCAGAAATAAAGCCGTAGACTGTGGCAGGACTGTGGCTCTTGTGGCAGGAGCCAGTAGGTAAATAAAGAATTGAGTGTGTACACAGATTTATCAGTCTCTTAAGCCATTTAGGGTAACTCATTACCTTAAAAAACCCAAACAAAACTAACAAAGGTCTCTAAGGTAATTAAAGGTTGATTTGTTTTTTTTTTAAGTCTTCCTTAATTAATACTGTAATGACCTATACATGCATACATATAAATTAAAAAATGTATTAAAATAATTATTTTACTAAGTTACGTGTTTTCAAGTGAACTTAAATATCATCCACTATTACCACAGAGAATGCAAGAATTAAAAACCAGACCCTTAGGTTACACTCTGGTTGTGAATCATAAAAAATTAATAACAATAGCAATAATAATTGTAGTAATAATACCTCCAGAAAAAAAAGAACTGCAAGTACTTGAAAGAGGGGATTTATCTTCCTCACTGTCTGAATTTCATTCCATTCATTTGCTATAAAATATGTCCTCCATATGCTCACAGGTGCGGCAGCACTTTTAATAACACCTTCACCTAAAACGAATACATACAATAAAGCTCTGAAGTTTAATACTTGAGATTAATATCTGAATTTAACCAAAGCTGTTTGCACAAACAAGCATAGTTTGAGTTACCTTCAACTGCTTTAAGAACTTTGCCCTTAGGTCTTTCCCAGTCAATAAAGAAAATATCTATAGTAAGTTGTGAAACCAGCAATTGTAAGAATTGCAGAGCCTAAGAAAGAAAAAGGACAAATATAACAAGTAAGGACAGCAACAGCATATAGACAAAGATGAAGAAACAGTCATTGCACATGTCATTCATTAAGCATAACAAGTAATATACTTGACTATACTTGAGACTGCAACTTTGTAACCAACTTTTGATAAATTTTTAAAAAAAATTTAAAAGCTTGGAGTAATGGTAAGTCATGTGACGATGTCCAAAATAATGAAGAAAATACAGCAAAGCAACAAATTCCAAAAAAATTTACTATTTCCCCATATTAACCTGTATTATGAATACCAATTCAATATAATACCCATAATTAATAAAATACTTGTATGTCCCATGAAGACAGAATACCGAACTCTGAATTCTGCAAGTATGCTTGAACATAATTATTTTAATCTGTCTTCTTTTTAATCAGGATCTGACAGCACTTATATTCTGCTTTAAAAGAAAGCACTTGATTTCTTGATATGGTCTTCTTTTATTTGGGTTTCTTTACAACTTTATCCTTGAAATAAGAATTTTCCATAGATCATCTTCCTTAGACACTTGTTTCCCTATACAGACTCCACAAAATAAAGGTCTATGGAAATATTACTTAATTCTTAGAATAAAATAATTGTTTACATCTATACACTAATAAAATGAACTGTAGAAGATGTTTAAAAACAAGCCTACTGAAAATATACAGAAGCATATGTTGAAATGTCTTTAATGCCTGAGGAAAAAAATATTTACCTTTAAACTAAACGCACATGCTACGTATGTAACAAAACCTTCTTCTTGAGATGGAAGTGGTAAAAGGACAGAGACAAACTGCTGAGCCTATAATTGAGAAGTTACATTGAAACAGTGTGAACAGCATATGTAACAACATACTAAGTGCTTAAGAGTGAATAATGTTTTGCAGAAAAAGATCAATATTTAATGTGCAATCATTTTGAATTTGTAAGGTATTTTAATTGACTATTAAGCAGACTGCAAGTACAACAAATCCTAAGGAAAAGAAACAGGTAAACACAAAAATTTAAGCACACAAAACAGAATATGATATAGAACTTGCCTCAATAGTCTGACCAGAAAGGCAAAAAAAAAAAAAAAAAAAGAAAAGAATTTTTGTGTAAACATATATGCAATATTAACAGGTTTTTGTAACGCCCAAATCTGGAAAAATACTTACTTTGAAGAACACAAGCCAGTAAATTCCTGTGCCCACTGTGATGACAAAGAAAACATTGGCAAGATCTCCAGCATAAAACAGTAAGAACTTCAAAACTGTCTGCAATTATAAAAACACACTGTAGAGATCTGTAAAACTAATTAAGTAATGCATATGTACATTCATATAAAATGTTATGCAGCTCACAATACAGGAAACTCTAGTAGTGAAAAGTAGCCTTGAACAAAATTTTTCTACTATGGTCATATTTACCATATTTATGGTATATTCAGTATCTGAAACTCCTACGTGCTAGTCTTTGTTCAAAGAAGAATTGATCTGAAAACTAAGGCCACTCAATTGGTCAGAATAGTTCTGTAAATACCTTTATTTTTAGCAAAAATAATTCCTAATAATTCCATCAGAATCAAAAAAAATGCAAAAAACCTTCTTCCTCAAGTGGGCCTATGTCCAGATCACTGTTCTATGCAGCTAGGCTATTTCAGTTACCTTAAGAAACATAAGTTATGTCACAGGGAATAATAGCAAAGTTCTCCTTAAAGAGAGGAAGACATGTCCCTACCAGCTGTTTATACCTGCAAGTCAATTATAGAGCTTCCTGTACGCCTCTTCCAGCCTGCAGTCTTGAGAAGGGACCATAACACTGCAAGCCCACCCAACACACCCAACGTGATCTGAAGAGAATGAAAAATTATTTGCAGATATTTTTCAAAACCACAAAATAGAAGTAAATCATTATATTGACAAATTAAGGAGCGATACAACTTACATCAGTCTGAATCTGAGCTTCTGACTGATTCATCTCATAATTGACTGAGAAGGAAACCTGAATATTAAGATAGAGAAAGTAAATATGCATAGAAATTCTGAAATGCTACAAGCGTTACAGACAGTGGTAGTTTCCACACTTTTAGTTGGTGGGAATTCCCATCTAGGGCTACTATACAAGTACAACATATACCTTCTTTTACTTTATACATCTGACCTGGTGTGCACATGCTCTGCTACACTTAGTGCAGATTTTACCAACAGTAATGCTGGGGATGGATGCCTGCTATCTGCAAGTTACTAGCTGTACTTAATCACAACCCTTTCAAATGTGCATAACTTTTTTTCTTCTGAAAGGAGACACCAAAGGTTTGATACTTTCCCTTTTATCAATGTTGATTAAGAATAACTTTAATGTAATTACACCAATATGCAAAATCATAAAGTGAGCTCTTACATAGCTCAGACACCATTTTGCTTCTAGCTTGAATGAAATAAAAATTGTCACACAGCATCAAAATTACTCCCTCTAGCTTAAATATCTATCTAACCTAAGACCTATTTTGACTTTGGTCTAAAAGATTTGTACAACAAAGAGAAAATATTTGTCTTGGTTTTATAGCATTCTGGACTGAATCCTTGTCACTGCAAGGCTAAAGTTAACACAAGTATGACAATTATTAGTATTTTTAATTTGTCTTAAAAAAAGAAAGGGCCCCCCCCCCCCCAAACCAATCCCTCCTCACCCCCACCTTGGCTACCCAAAACATTTGTTCCTGTCAGAGCTCATTCCATCACCTCACTTGGATTTAAGTCTCAATATGCTCAGTTACTGGAAGGTCAGTGCTTACAGAACTTGGAACGAAATTCAATGTATCTTTTTACTTGCATAAAATTTGTTAAATGCAACAAGACACCCAAAATTGACAACACCTAAGTAGATCAGATGTAGATGTGAGGGTGAAATAGTGTAACATAAAATAGAGAAACTGAAAACAATTGTTCCTGCCACTGCCATTCAAATGAATTATTTTCTAAAACCAGTGCTGTTTCTGTGGTTAAATAAAGACATCATTTAGGCAGGGAAGAAGTGTCTGACTAATTTTTCTATCTTTCTAATTCCCTGTCCCTTCTTTCCTTTCATGCAGCTAATATGGAACACAAGGAATGCTTCTAGCACCAGAAATTTTTAGACTAGATGTCTATCTGTACTGGAAGGCTGAACTGTTGAAGGTTGACAAGCAGAAAACGTTAATATTATAATTGCCCGTCGTGGGAGGGAAAAGGGCAAGTAGGAAATGCCCCATCTGCATCTGCTACAGAAGAATGTGATGGGTTTCAGTAGAGGAAGATGCCCCAAACTGGTCTCCAACCTCTCTGGCTACAGATTTTTGGATTATTTCACTTTAATTCTTAGAGATGTGTTGTAAAATAATACACAGCAGATAAAACACTAAAGGGTGTTTTAGATACGTTACCAATATTTTAACTTAAACTACAGGTGACCTGAAATGTCTGTGTCAACAGCCTCTTCTTTATGCATTTCTTTAAATAAAAATATTCAATTTCTTGCATAAATTGCTGCTTTCAGTGCATTCCATAAAGAGTACTTTTCCTGTTATTTTCTGTGCATATAATTTTATTTGAAATATAGCCTAATTTAGCATTAGACAACCAATTGTAAAATTCTAAGCATTTTAAGTTAAAAAAGACTCAATATAAATTAAAAAGAACATACTTTTAACTGCTTTGTTTTAAAAGCTTTAAGTTTTAGTGAAAACTTGCAACTTCAAAACTGAGCAGAACTAGAAATTGATTATTAGATTTTTAAAAACCCCCCAAAAATGTTCACTCAGCTGGAATTCCAACAGAACTAAAAGTATGATTAACAAATCAGTTCAATTAAGAGAGCACAAAGATCTTACCATCACACTCTGGGTTTCAGGGTTTTGAACAAGCACATCTGTGTAAGCAATAGTAAGTAGAGGAGGGTAGATAGTTCCTCTCTGAGTATGTGACACCAGACGAATACTGCAGAAATACAAACAGTATTTATTTGTAATACAGAAAATGGATGAGTTGCTTGGAAAGTATTGATTGAAACTGGTACTAATAAGAAAATACTAAATGAAAAGAACAACCTTGATCAATAAAATGTGAGTTTCAAACCCAGTGACAAAGCAATTCACATTTTAAAAGCAACCAGCGTGCAAAGGCATGTATACAAATATATAAAAAGCTGGGAAGGATTGCTTATTTGTAAGAAAATACCGGAATCAGTCTTTACCTACTGCTCACATTACGATAGCTGCAACTGAAGTCAATTCCAAAAGGTAACTTTTCTCAAAACATTACAGAATGACCTTTTCTATATTTATTTTGAATTTCTGGCATTATCCTTTTTTCCAGGGCAGGGTGGGAAGGGGTTCTCCTAACATACATAAGCTAATCCTTATTTTTTTAAATAATGTAATATGTAATTCTCTGCAAATGGAGTTAGTACATTAAATTAATCTTCAAGATGATTACTTATATGGATCAGTACTCAGTGCTACTCAGCAATCTCTTTAACTAATAAGTTGTGAAGAAGAACTGAAGGAAAAGGGAGATCTTAAATTTTAGACAGTCATCTCAGAGTAAGACATTACATAAAGGAGAAAAAAAGGTTCTTCCAAAACATATTCCAGTTGAGATGAACTATCAGTAATGACCCTAATGGGTAGTCTCACAATTTCAGTTAAATCTACAAGCCTATTCTGGATTGTACACCAGAATAGACAACAGTTTGTAAAAATACTGAAAAAAAAGAATATGGAGTATGAAATAGCATCCTTGTATAGTCAGTAACATACACATGAAAAAGAATTAACAGAGGAGTTTTTAGGTCTTTCCAGATGACACCTGCTTCTAAGAGGTGACTGAATGCCTGCTAACTTGCATTATGCATACATGGTCTGATTCATCTTACCTGGAAAGTAATCATAGTAATTTTAACCCCCACAAGTCAATGTTATGTTTTCTCACTCACTCATCAGAACACCCTATGGAAACACTTGCTATTTCCAAGTATGCAATGGAAAAAGCAGCAACAGGACATATCAGAAACAACATAATAAAACAACTTTCTTTTAAGACAGTGAAATACAGACTGCACAAAATTGGCTTGATTTTCTATTGACTATATATTATATGCAATTAATCACCTTATTGTTATTTTGCTAGCAATTCGTATTACCCTTGGTAGTTTTCCCAAGTCATTCTCTTTTCCACTTAGTGCGTCCACCAAAAAAAATCGACGAGTCAAAAGCCAGTTGTTCATACTACTGCCTTTGAAAAAACATGACAGTCATAATATTTAAAAAACTAATTCAATACACAAAAAGAATGAAATCAATTAGAAATGAGACATATGCCTGTATGATACATATAACTGTATTCAGGATGTAAAATTACTTATTTTCAACTTAAAAAAACACATGATGAAATTAGATTGCTTTATTTGTGCATATTATTGATTGGGCCAGTGTATGCAACCAAAGCTTGCATTTAACACTATCAGAACTTGCCCACAAATATTAAATTCTTGAAACAGAAACAAGTTATGGTGGGTTGTGGCATCTTTAAAAACAACTCAGTAACAGTAATTAAGACAAATTCTTTCAATTTGCAGTTATTCAGATTACTTAAATTCACAGAAATGTATTATGACAGTCTTACCTTGATTAACAAACATTTCACTGTACTGAAGGTTCAAGTTTAAAACTGGCACAGCCCAAAGATATTGTTGTCCATTGTCACCGTTATATTCAAGGAAGAGGTCATAAAAGATTGGATTAGCAAAATCCAGTAAAAGCTTCGAAACTGAAACTTTGCACTACAAGAAAAAAATGTTAAAATAAAAAGATCACTTTAGCCATTTAATGATTTTATCAAGTTGTGGATTCTTCCCCTACAAAATTATTGTGGAATCTGTGCCATTTCTTTGCAAAAGACAAGGCATTCCAGCTATTTGCAAGCAATTACAAAGTACTAATGATTTTATACAAACCTCTTGGAAATGACTACAATTGACTAACGTGGAGAATGAAACTCTGCTAACATTTTTCAACAGATTAGGAAAAAATATCCTAGCAAATTTCACAGACATAAGATTTAAAACAGCATAAACACTAAAGTCAAGAAACATAAATGCTGAAGTTGCAGAGTGCTGTGTCTGGTTCTGGGCTCACCAGTACAAGAGGAAATGGAGCTACCTGATATAGTCCAGCGCAGGTCACTAAGATGATGGACTAGAGCATCCCTCCTATGAGGAAAGGCTGAGAGAGCTAGGACTGTTTTGCCTGGAGATGAGAAGGCTAAGGGGGGATCACATCAAAAATTTGAAGGGAGGGTGTACAAGACAGAGCCAGCCTCTTTTCAGTGGTGCCCGGTGACAGGACCAGAGGCAATGGGCACAAACTGAAATAGGAGGTTCCCTCTGGGCATCAGGAAACACATTTTCACTGTGACGGTGACCAAGCACTGGCACAGGTTGCCCAGTGAGGTTGTGGAGTGTTGCTCCTTGAAGATATTCAAAAGCTGTCTGGACACGGTCCTGGGCAACCTGCTCTAGGTGGCCCTGCTTGAGCAGGGGGTTGGACCAGATGACCTCCAGAGGACCCTGCCAACCTCAACCATTCTGTGACTATGTGAAGAAATTAAATGTGAAAGTAGGTAGTTTTTTGCATGTGAACAACCATGCAGTCTTTAAATACTCATAGAACATTTCCACCATGTTTTCTCCAAAGCTGTAGGAAAAAACAGTGATGCATACAATCCATGAAAATAATTACATTAAAAAATACTCAGTAAGTTAATATTTATTGGTATTTGTATTTAAACCCAGTAATATTAACTGTTAATACTTAACAACAGGTTCTGTAGACTCAATATATCAAATACATAAGATTTTAAAAAGTACAAAAAATAGAATAACCATACTCGACTGGTTCAATGATCCTAAATAGGAAATAAGTTTCCATTCTACTGAAATATGGATTAAACAACATTAAACAATATGGAAGAGTAAAAATGCTGAACAAAGTATTTTGTCAGAATTATTTGGTAAACACTTCAGTTTTCAAGGGCTAAAGCTTTGACAGCTATTACACTACAAGACTTTCACACCACCCAAATAGCAGCCACAGTTTATACATTTTTACACTGCAACATGTAATGTGGGGAATTGTTTTGAATGTAGATGAGTTAATAAATAATATTAATGGATATATAGGTATTAGATGCTATGCACACATATGGAGTTTTATAAAAATAAAGATGGTATTTCTCCACCCACCTGCCAAAGAGACTACCACCTCCCCATTTAACACGTAAGTGACAAAAATTAATGAAGCTTTATTGCTGGCAGAACCATGCCTGTGGCTCACTGAATTTACCGTCTAAGTATACACAAGCTCAAGTGCTCTATCCCCTCTCCCTTTCCTGGTGTTTAGTAAGGTGTGAAAACTCCAATATTTTTTTCCCATAGTTAAGACAGCTAAAGAATCTCTTTCCTCTGATGAGTCATCTGTTTGATTAAAACTTTCCTTCAATCTCTTTATTGAATTCACTGAAATCAGGGAATACATTAAGGAGTTAATGGGGAAAACATACAGGCATGGCATGATTGCATATGCCTTCCTTCCCTATGAAACCTGGCCAAAGATGGAGGCAGGAATATTAGAAGTTACAATGCAAAGTATATGACTGTCAGAATTCAGGCATTGTGTTCTTCCACTGATAAGTCAGCAGCCTCACTAATAGAAATGCCAGTTCAATTTATTTTGATTATCCTATGTAGTAAACAAGTTTTGTGATGTATCGTTAAATAATTAACACCCCCCCTCCCCCATTTACTTCACTCAGTAATAAAGAAATTAAAATAAGCAACAGTTTCACAAGAAAGAAGTCCATGTTGCAGCTTATGGCTAAACTCCAGAGATCCTTCAATATGCACTGAATTGCTGATGACGTATAAAGCAACTTAATTCAAAATTCACAATAGCATTTTATCTCTTACTTACACTTTGTTGGTAAGTTGTTCCAAATGTATAAGCTGCATTCAATTTAGTTTGGGTATCAGGACAAAGCTGAACAAAACATAATTATAATTAGGTTAATTCATAGGTATCATTTTCTCACATGAAATATTCACAGGTACCCCAAGCAGTTTATGTATTCACAGTTCTCACAAAAGTTATTTTGTTCTATTTTTTAAGAAGAGAGGGATTGATTTTGAAGAATAAACACGATTATTTATTGTACTAATATTGGTGTTCTTAGAACGCTGTTTTAGCTTATTCAAACTTGTATAGTATTTTTCAGTTCTGTCACTGAAGTTGAAATCTGTGGACAGGAGCATCCAGCCAGGCAAGAACAATCTTTCCAGGGATTCAACACACTGTGCTGCCTCAAGCTTTATTAATGGCTTCTGCTAAATCCAAGAATCCCATGAGAAAAGAACTCCACATTCATATTGCCCCCTTTCTTTTAAGCTAGCATTCTCAGAGGATCAAAGTTATGGCAAGTAACAGCTTTTTTTTTTTCTTCCTTTTTCAATGTAACTTTTACATTTTCTGCAAAGAACAAGTCATTCTAAGTAGAACCCAGAAAAATGGGTTCTGGGCCAAATTCTAACTAAATGAGCATGGCACTTAGTGGAGGGCATAGCAAATCAAGTCTGAATTTACATAAAACACAATTCTATTAGTGTGCAACTGAAATTCTGGGAATTGTTAAAATTATGCATTGAGGTTGCTTTAGCACTGCGATGCCTTATCATCACACACAGTCTATTACACTAAAATAGGCTTTGAATGGAAAAGCTATTCCTTTCCCATTGATTTTTGATAGCTACTAAAAGCTTCACATTTGCAAAATTAACGTGTCCCAATAAACCTTAAAATCTATGTCAGAATATCTCATTTTCTATGCACAGTAATCAACTTAATAACCTGTTTTCTCAAACACTAGTTTTCCTTAAAATTTGAGAGGCAGATACAAGACAGTTCATCCTGAGACAATAACAAAAGAAATAGGCGTCAGTCACTAAATCCTCAATGTCAGCTGCTCTTCTGTAGATACTGGAGCATTTGAATTGAAGTGCTCCAAGAGCGACATGAAGAGCCTAGAAAAGGGGACAGACAATTCCCAATTGTTCTTGCTATTATTGTTGCCAGCCTAGGGAATTGCTGAGAGTGCCCAGATCACCACCGGACTGCTAAACAAATTCTACTCTGTAATGTCTTTCGCAGCTGCCAATTTCTGCTAACAGTTAGGCTAATTACTATCATGCTTTCCACTTGCTTCTTCCTTGAGTTTTTCACATTCTATACAGCATGGTACTGCTCAAGTAGAATGCGCGTGTGCCACTGAAATCTGAAGGTAGAGTGTCCAAGAGTACTGTGAATCCTCTAGCCAGCGTTCCCCAATTCTATGTAAAGTCTCCCAGCAAGTTTTTATAACTTTCTTTTATGAAAAAGCCAGGCAGATACTGGCCAAAGCCAAAAGAAATAAACAAACAAAAAATCCCAAGAGAACTGAAAGAATATGAGGTGGTAGATCAGTTTTCCTACCTCTCTTGATAATGACATAATCACTGATTGCTTGGCATCCCCATAATGTGTGAAAACAGGTGACAACATCTAATAGGGACATACTCCCAGAATTTTCTATAAATGTATGTGGACGGAGAGCTAAAGAATATACTTTTCTCACCAAGAAAAAGAGGGCTAATAATAAATTACGTACATGGGTAACCGTATGCTGAATGGAAGAAAGAGATAGTTAGTTCTAAAAGACTAGTGCTGTTTTTCAGAGCTTTCCAATATTCCAAATTTATATTGGTCCAATGGATGAGGGCAATGTCACTGAATTTATACTTTTGATTTTTTAAAGATCATTGTGAGCAAGAATCAAGGGCTATTCTCCCTAAACTAGCTTTATGGTTATCTTATGAACTGTCACTACTGTAGTAACCAAACTCTTGGCTTTTGTCTTAATTTGGCTAAAGGCAATCAGAATGTAATGGTATCAACAAAAGGTAATTAAAATCAAACGTACCTGTAAGATGCCTCCTTCCAAATTTTGCCACTTAAGAAAGTTTCCTGCTGCATCAAATGAGGCTGCAATAAATTGCAGCTTTACATCCTGATGATGAAAACAGATAAAGAAACAATGAAACTGCCATAAAGTGAACATTCACATTTCAGGCACTGCTGTCTGATCGTTTGATGCTTCCCTAAAACTTTCAGCATAATTCCAGCTTCATTTTTTCCCTCCGATTTCATCTTTTTATTCTTGCTTTTGGTAGTTTACTTTTTTAAAAAAAACATACTTCACCATTCTACTGCTTCATTGGTGATGTGGAAAAAGTTCCAAAGGAACTTCTGTACAGGTAGACATGCCCTAAATTAATCAGAAATCTATGCAGATTTCTACTGCATACCAGGCTGGCATCTTGAGTGCTTCCAGGACCTTCAGTGATAGGAAGAATAATGAGTATTTTAGTTGTTAAAACAGAAGCTGTGTTGCAACATTGTTTAATTTAAAATACAATCTTTTAGAATATGGCTGAAAACTATTATTTTATTTCTGAGTCAAAAAGAAAACTGAAGATAAATCTGGCAATTTTAACAAAGAGGTTACCACTAGCACTACTTACTTTCTGTGATTACCTTAAAACTGTGGCAGTTAACAAGCTACTTAAGAAGGCCATCCCTCCCAGGGATGGATACCTGGCTTTGTTAACACTGAAATGATTGTTTTTCCTCACCTCTTTCTTTTTTCCTAATTCACTGTAGGAACAGGAAAAAGCTGGAGTAATAGACTGAATTCATCCCTGATACAACTCAACTTGTAGAGATTTGTAACAGAGATATTAAGGTTGGTATAAATGAAGTATGGATAGAAATGTGTAAGAACCAGAAGCAACAGAAGTAAAGGGTTAAACACCACATAGCAATAATGAACACTGTTCCCAGCAAGAAAGCTGAGAAATGGGTTCTGATAAAACCATGGCACAGACAACTTGTCAGGAAAAGATCATGTACCTTGGCACCAGAAGAATGGCAGGAAAGTTATAGCACATCACATATACCCCTCTTTTTCCAATTAGTTCACCAGGAAAACTGACAAAAGGATGTATATGTTTTAAACAAGGGAAAAAGACAAAGACCTACTTTGGTTCGGATTTATGGAGACTGAAAGAAACAAGACTGAAGGAAAGCCAAAACAACTATTAACTCCTATGGGGTATAAAAGATTTGTGTAATTACTAGTTCATCACTGCCAATCCAGAAGAACCTTGGGGACACAATGAGAACTTAATAGCTGGCATCCCTTGTTCCTTGTGTCACACACAATTGATCCTGGTCAGACCACTCAGGCAAGCACACCTTGGCCTTATGAGAATGTGGGTATGAGAGCGTGAGCAAAATAAATGTGTGACCAAGTGAGTGTAAGTCAGTAAAATCATCTTACCTAGAGATTTTTTACGTCACCTTCCTCTTCCGTAAGATCTCACACTGAGTTTTGTTACACTAACTGCCTAAAAATTACCTTTAGTGGAGCCACATCTGCAATGAATCTAAACCTCTTTATGTGATTATGTCCTCTTCCAAATGTCTGTTTCCCCATGTCTACTACCCAACACCTACCTTATCTGTTCCTTTAAAACTGAAGACTGTAGGAATGATTTGCCTCAAGCACTTGGGATGCTAATCCTGGTTGATCACCATAATATAGCCATGGAAGATTATGCCTCCTGAAAACAATTACAATGTTTTTTTTAAAGAAACATAACATCATAACACTTGCATCAAAGAACATTTAGAACAATAATTTCCATAAAACACTATTAAAGACTGAAGTTATGGAAAAGGCAACTTACCAGAAGGCTATTGAATGAACAATGCCTAGCCTTGCTGTATTGACATAAATATACTGAAATAAACCACAGGCATCAGTACTTGAAGAACTCAGTGAGTTCATATTCATTACACACATATTTCCAAGAGCTTGGCATGCTGTTAGATTGGAGTACAACTGCAGTGGAGAAACAGAAGAACACAGAAAAGTATTTATTTACCCTTCCTTTTGGTGAGGCAGTCATAAAATTAATGTTATCTTTAATAAGCCACACCTAAACTCTCATTTTTACTTGAAAGTTATTTTGTTTTGTCAACACCTAATATTTTCTTCCAGCTATTCAGGTTCCATATTTTTATAGGTCTGCAGATGGCAGCATGAAATCAACGCTCTCACTTTTTCAGTTTATTTTAGTTGCATCAGCTAGACGGTATGATGTGACAGAAATGTCAAAATCTGTATTTAGAAAACGAAGTAAGAATCAAAATGTTTAACATCACTTAGGCTGTATGACAAAGATGACTCCATCAAAGACCTAAGACTGACAACTACAATTGCATGTATCGTGACTATCTTCTTTTCAGTTTTAGTACTTTTTCTATTCTGCTGTTCCTAAACTATGTTGTATTTATACCATTGTTCAATTTTGGTAAACAAACCACTGCCATGTGATAAGCAGAAGTGATGCCTAGCATCTGTGTGCAGTGATCACTGGTATTAACTTGCTAACACCTATTGCCTTTGTGTGGGTCAGATTGGCAGTTGAATGCTACACTCAGGCAGAAGAGCTGAGCAGGCTGGGAATCAGGAACATCTTTGAGAAGTGCAGCTGGGTACCTAAACACCACAGACATCCTGAGGTACCATGGATAAGCACAAAACTAAGGAGCTGTAACAGCAACTTATCATCTGGAAAGGTGAAAAATAGTCTGGAAAAGAGGGAAAACATTCTAAGAAATCAGGAATTGGCAACTGCTATTGGCTATTCTACCTGAAAGAGCAGAAAACCAGTCTGGAAAAATAAAAGGACTGGTCTGAGAGAATATGCAACATCACCATCTATTGGCTGCTCCAGGTGATGCTGTCCTACGCCCCCTTACTTCTCTGTGATATCAAGATGACTTATTTGTTATCCAAAATGGAGAGTGAATCTGTCCCTGTCTGTCTGTCTCTCACACACAAACCCCCCTCCCCCCGCACAAACTTTTCTATGAGCTCTCCTAGGCAAGTTATCGGACCATCACTGGGGATGCCTGGCTGACTCCAGACTCTGCGACGTGGATCATCTTCAAAGTGAGACTTTGTCTGTCATCGATTTCGAGGCCCCACTCCTGGAAGCGGTTTGGTGAGCACTGTACTGGTACTATTTTGAATAACAGATATACATAGGAATGCATATAGGTAATTGATCATAAGTGTATTTGCTGGTGATTATTACTAGTGATAATTTTGTAGTAACTTGTAATATTGAAATTTATGCTTGCTGCCACTATTCATTGCTGCTACCATTGTAATACGTACATACTTGCTTTATTAATCGTAAGCATACTCACTTTACTAGTAGTAATTTGTAATAATCTGTAATAAAGAAATGTAGGAAATAAAGACTCCATGTGCTTGTGTTTTACAAAACTCTGCAAACCCCTATTGTGATTTTTATACACCTGTAGGCCAGGTAACCCTTTGGGTCATGACAGATTGGGAGAAAAGGTAGCGCCTGAGAAGTTAAAATCTGATTTTGAGGAGAGGAATACAGAAGGGAAATGAGGATGTGTGATAACAGAGTTGGTAAAAAGGAGGCAGAGGCACATCCCCTTCACAAGTGTGCATGATTCTGTTACCGCAGCCACTCTTCCACCCATGGTTACTGCCACCCAGACATATATATGATGTTATATAATGGTAAATAACACTTGCATGCATAAATCAAAGCAAGCTAGAAAGGATGGTTCTATGGTTATCCTTCTCCAACACAAAACATAATGATTAACTGAAAACCAAGTAAGAGGTAAAGACCAGCTGCCAATCAATACTGAGTATTTAAGAAGTTAATTTTCTGAGTGATCCCTTACTGGATATACTCAGTAACAGTTCACATACCTACTGACTATTGCAGGATTTTTTGTTTACCACCATTCACCTTGTGAAGATTCCAGCCCTGGAGACTTGCATTAACATTGACTAGCACTCAATATCCTTTCTAAACATTCTGTATACATATTTCTTTCTTATCTACTGTCATCTCAAAATAAGATTCTTTAAAAATAAGCAAGCTAGCTCCAAAAACTAGAGTGCCATGCTTTTATACAGAGTATCACTTCTGTGTAAAAAAGCAAACTGCAAACATCAATGAAACTCACCCAACAGGCAGAGGCTGAGGATTGCAGGTTTTTCAGAAACCATGCTGATGTCAGTGTTATACCCTGTAAGGAAGGAATTGCTTCATTCTCTTTGTTCAGAACAATTTATCCATAACGTAACCATCTGGAAAACTATGTCAGCTAAAAGATGCTACTTATTTTCTTCTCAGAGCTTTCTGTCCTTTGTAAGTGTCTAAATCAAACCAGGTCAGTTCAAAACACAATCATAATGCAAGAACTTGTTTCACTTCACTAAATTAGACAAAATATACAGAACAAGAGCAGAAAAATTTTACTTTTTAATATGGATTCTATGACGAAGGAGTTTACTGCACAAGGGAAGTACTAATGATTTCAAGGGTAAGGTGTTGATTGGGTGGTAAATTTAGCTCAGGACCAAATTTGCCAAATCAATTATTTCACAACCTGCCTTTTACAACTACTCATTTTTGAACTGCATTTTCAGAAAGCAAGACCAATATTTGCTGTCAGGAAAACTGAAGACTACTTTTTGCTTTCTTTCAAGCAGTAGCCTTTAATTCATTTAAGAACAAACTACATTTATTGGCCACATAGCATTTCCTGAATTCAGAACTACATGGAAAATGGTCCTAACTTCGAGCAGATTTCACAACTAATACAAGTGCATTAGCTAAACCAATGAAAACACCTTCATTCTTCTCAATAGAACATACTTTCAACCATTAGCCAATTCAATGACTTCAACAATTTCATACACAGTCTCAAATTGTATATGTGTCCATTTTCTTCTATCAGCTCTAACCATCTGACAACTAAAAATGTCCTTTCAATCTTTATATCTTCTTTAAAATATTTTATATGAATACCAATTTTACATAGTAAAATGAAAAAGAAATTGAAAAAGCCCAGAGGCTCTCATGGACTCTTCGCATGTTTTTGTGATATACATGTGTTTTAAAGACATACAATTAATACAATAGACCACATACTACTTGTTTTGACACTAAATTAATGTAAATTACTTCCCTTTTTTCAGTTGCCAAGCAGGCATGAATTTTCTTAAACATATTCCATTAGAACAATGCTTGCCTGGTCTACATGTCTACACTCTTATCTTGATGCAAATTACCTTGCAATCACTGCGATCAGACAACAAACCACCACCTTTGTTTTTCAGGAATGGAATTTAAAAGACTTACTGAAAGTAAATAATGAGATAGCTTGAAAATGTTTTAGAACAAACACACTTACTAGCTGTCCAAAACGAACAGTTGCAACTCCCTTTGGGAGTAAGCTGTCACTAGCACTGAAACACAATCCCCCAGTCTGGAAAAAAAAAAAACAACCCAGAAATAAAAAAATGGAAATTTATACATTTGTCAACATAACTTTTCTTTTGCTGAGCTTCAATACAACAAGCATTCTTCTACTTACTAAAATGTTTGGGCTGCTGCAGTCACAAGACTTGCTGACATTGATGAACGTTTGTTCACATCTTACACACCTACGGATCACAAACATGAAGAATGCACTTAAAATGTACTTAAGTATGAGATTTAGTACTCAGTCAAAGCTGATTACATAGTATGCCTGATTACACTGTCAGCATCTTCACTAGTTCAAACTGAAATCCAAAATACATTACCAATGTGTTTCTACTGTCAGTGACGTAGAAAAGAAATGAAATAGTTAATTATCAAAATAAGAATTCCATTTCTGCTTCCAATCCAAAGCCTACTTATAGTCACACTAAAGCAAAACAAACAATCAAACCAAGCTGCTGCTCATATAAGGACTTCAATGAACACAAAACATACTGAGTTTGATATGGGGTTGAGGATTTCTAATTCACTGCTTTTAAAACTGTCATCCCAAAGATACAGACTGTTCCTCAAGAATATTCCATTTAAACAGAACATGACACGTTCAAATTTATCATCACAAAAGGAAAAGAATACTCACCTATTTCCTGACACATCTGAAGCAGAGAATGATTGCGCACTTCCATTACAATGTATGCACAGTGCTTCATTAAGTAAAATGCCATCGACACTTCTTTCCACTAAGTGCAAAAGAAAAGCAACTGTGATAAAATGCATGATGCACGGTATGTCACGCAGGGTAAGAGAAGTGTGAAAAAATAAATTGTCTATGCAGATATAAAATCAAGAGCACAGCTTGCAATAACATCCACTATAAATGTACATTCATATACGTATATGTGCATTGTTTATAGCTATGCACATGCAGTCTGGTTTTAATGAGAAATGTGATATTTCATATCCGGTTTTGCTGTTCCTAGTCATTTATTCTGAACCAAATTTCAAACCAAGGCTTCACTGCAAAGCTAGAATTCAAAATATCAAGCTTACAAATTACTGGGAAAAATATTTTTGATTTTCGTATGAAATGATTCATGCAAATGTCACAAATTCAAAGTTTCAAAACCACATCTTCCAGCAAATAAATCATTTGGCAAGAGATTTCAAGTCTAATTATACTAAAAAAAAAAAAAAAAAAAGAGATGCAAAGAGAATTAAAAGAATTACAATACTAATGTTCTTTCTGCATGTTAAATTACAGAATCAGCTTTGCTCTCAATATTTTACCATAGAGGCTCGGAATGTATTTTGTAACTTTCATAAAGTTTAAGGGAGATGATCTGGTATTCACTCTTCTACAGACTCCTTTTCAATTAATGATCTGGAAAACAGTGATTCTCCAGTACACTCTGTTAGAAATGTAACCAAAGTGGACATTAGTAATACTTAATCAAAGAATTACAGGCACACAAAAATTCTTTTCCATCCTGTGTCTTTGAAAATAAGGAAAACTAGAGCTCCCAAGAGCTTTTCTGTTGTACACCTTTGATGAAATTTATAATTTGCTCTTAGTTTTTTGCTATACAAGATAAGCAAAAATACAGTTAACACAGACACTAAAGTTAATACTAAAATTAATTTTCTGTGTCTACTGAAATTCATCCGCAACTATTAGAGAGCATCAAGTAAGAGGCACAGATATAGGGAAGCATGTTGCAGGAAATCACAGATATAGGCATGTGTCTCAGGGAGATATGAAATCCACTGATATCGACGCATAGTAGTTTGCTTGGCTTGCTCAGGCTATTCTCTTCCACCTAGTCATATATGTGTAATTCCTGTACTGCAAAGTACTTACACATTATATCCTTCAAAACATTTTAATGTTTTTTCTTAGTCTATATTGACATTGCTTTTATCCAAATTTTAATGCCTCCACCCAGCGCCAGCCAGCTTAAAGGAAGTGATACACCCGTATTCATTTTTTCAATGTTTGCATAATGGTTTTTATTGCAATGAACAACAGTACAGATTTATCTGCTGTCTTTCAGGAATGAGGTTTAAGATCAAGAGGAATGTTGAATTTTTACATTAGCTATGTAAACATATGTTAAATCTCCTTTCTTATTTAACAAAGAGCATGTCTTAATAAACTCAAAAATCTAAAATAAGCACTAATATCTCATAACTTGCATACATTTCTTACCTAATATTTCATTACTGAGGCATTTACATTTTCCTTCTGAAGTTAGGCCTTTAGGGCAAGTAATACAATTCCACCCATCTTGAGTAACTCCACTCTAAAATAAAATGCAAAACTATTATAATTTCCAAAAATATAGACATCACCAAATATCTCTGAAGAATGCCTGATCCAGATGTTATTTACTAGAAAATGTGTTCAGATACAACAACATCGATAACATTCATGAAGCTTTTAAAGGTAAAAAAAGGCTGAACAATCTGGCAAAAGTAATTCCTATGCAGACATAGACTTAAAAAAGTGTTCTTAAGTTTTTCTGAATCCATTAGCTAACACCCTTTACTGAAGATAGAGTTGATTAAAAATGGAACGTTTAAAAAAGATATAGAGGTTTTACACTTGCAGTCAGGAGAAAATTTAAAATTTAAAAAAGCATTGTTATTATGGCAAAGTATGAGAAGTTCAATACTTACCATATTTTCTGGGCATTTTTCACAAATAACAGAGGACCCACCATTACTAGAAACCATCCTGTATCCTGGCTGACATACACATGAACTACCTGGAAAAAAAAAAAAAAAAGGCACTTTTAGTCTATATAAAACTGTTTTTCTTTTTTCCACAGAATACTAAGAACAAGTGCTATTGTTCTCAAGAGATCAGTATAGGTTATTAGACAGACAAATAAAACATCTGAGCTGTGCATGAAAATCACCTTGCTTTTTAAAAAAAATGTTCATGTTACAGTTTGTACAAAGATGTTTTAGGAAAATGTTACTAGGCTGACCGATACACTGGGGGGAACAGGAACCCAGAGCCTGTGTTTTTGTGGGGTTTTTTAAACTATATCAGTTGGTTTAATAACAGATATAATCTCTCCCTCTACATCTTGCCACACTGCCATTCTTACTCCATCCTCTCTACACCACCAGCATTATATGTTTGTATGCAGTTTTTATCCTTTAAAATAGGAAGTCAGTCCTAAACCCAAAACATGTGTATATGCAAAGGTTTTTCAAAATATAACTCTAGTTTATAAAGCTATTTTAAACTCAAAGCTTTTAAAATTGTTCATGGGGATCAAGCTTCATATTAAATAGTTTTCAATGAATTATGTCCTAATAGGATTCTATGTACTAATATTCTATGTACTAATGATTCTATGTACTAATAAACTGTATTTATTATTATTTAAGCTTATTGAACTGTGCATGTAAAAATCATGTAAAATTCTGTGAAAAGTTTTATAACCTTAAAGAACATCCTCATGAGACCAGTTTTACAGAAACAACATTAGTCAAAGTGATCAACCATTCATACTTAACTACAAAGAAGAAAAAGCTCAATAGGATTAGGTCAATGAAGAGACTTGAGTTGTGACATTCACTGTGATGATACCTAAATTTTTAAACATGTTGCTTGAAAGCCGAATCCACAGTGATGAGCTAGCCATGGAGTGCATGGGCAGACTTGTGCAATCCCAAGTGGAATTCAGACAAGATGCAACAGCAGACTGAGCGGCAGCTACCTACACTGCTCCATTCAGATGCTGCAGAAAAAAATTAAATCCTTGACTTCCCCCTGGAATTTATCTCTCCTTGAAGCCTTTGAATTAGAGGAAGATTCAAGTCTAAAAGGGAGTTATGGATCTAGACACTCACATTATCAGGGGGTCTGAAAACTATTACCGTGCATTTTTTTCTGCAAGTAAACTACGGGGTTACTCTTTTAAGATATGATGATGGCGGAGCAAGAGGTGACCAGCTTTTACGCAGCAGTTGTGAACGCAGCCATCCAGATCAGTGCATCTGCCTGAGGTACCAGCGTTGAAGAGGGATGCTGTTGGGTCTTAGTCTCAAATTTGTTTCTGTACACTCAACACTGAACTCCCACTTCTCTTGGACTGTGTATTTATAAAAGATGGGCATTGTCGTATCATCTTATCTCCTAATGAAAATGAACTACCACCTATATTTTTCATTTAGGACTGTGTGTCGTGTATGCTCCGAGTTCCCACACGGGACTTGGATTAGTACAGCCCGAAGTTCTCAGATACTCAACATCTCAGACATTCAAGTTTCGACATGGGAGTTTCAAGTTATGGAGGTGTTCAAGAGACATTCAGGGGCCCATGGAATTTTACTGATGAAAATGTCAATACCTGTAGCCATACAAACCCCTGAGGAAAAGAACGATTATAAAAAAAGGCCTACAGACGTTTCCCTGGGGCGTATCTCTGAACACAGGTATCAGAGCTGTGCTGCGGCCACTTAAGTCTCTGGGGGATCCTGTCCCTGTTCGCTGCCTTTTCAGGCACCTGCCCCTGAG